CGCACAGCACGCTTCCGACTTCTAAAATCCGTAACATTCGCATACGACCTCCTTTTTTGACGTTCTTTATATCCACGCGTAGGTAAAAATAAGATCTACAACTTTCATTTTGACTCTGTCGGCTAATTCTCGACCGATCTTAAATTTAACAGTACGAGGAGATTATACTGTTAAATGTCCGCGTAAAATTCATAACTTGTACATACAGACTCTGTTTTCGTCTGTCTTTTTACCGTTGAGTTTCTATTAATGAGATCTTCAATTCTCATTTAGGTCGCGTAGGCCAAAAACCGCTCGATCTAAAATTCGAGTTTCGGGCCGTGTACAGCTATGCCAAATCTTAGAAAATTCATAACTTCCTCATACGAAGTCAGATTTGGGCGTTCTTTTTTTTGTATGTTCTCAGTTTAACGTATACTACAAATTTTGTTTAGATCACTAAGGCTAAAAAGTCTTCTACCGTAAATTCACTATTTACGTCTCCCGGTGTCGTGCCAATTTTGCCTTAAAACTTCGACGGACCATAACTTCTTTGTTATAACTCGGATTTCAACGTTCTTTATATGTACGGAACCCTTGAGACGTATTCTACAACTTGGTTAAGATTATTTATTCTAAATAATCTTTTGTCAAAAAGTCGTTTTCGACCCCTATTATCTCTAAATTGACTAGCCCGGATCTACGGGCGTTACAATTATCTCCCCCTTAGGATGATTACGTCCCGGAATCATCAACGAAAAAGGGCTCACATGATGACTCCATACCTTATCTCTTCATCCTAAGTAATAACCGTAACTTTGATGTTTCTTCGAATTAATATCTACCTCTAAGACTTCCTGATTGCAGGGGGTGCTCGATCTTGCACTTGCTCCCTATCTCACGTTAGACTCCAAATTATGACCTTCAAGTCACAATCTCGATCCTTACTGGAGACTGCTTCTTCTTCTTAACAAACCCTAAGATAAGTTATTTAATTACTAAAATGGAACGATGTGTCATATTCCAATGACCTATCATCGTATGCTGCAATGCTTAGACTCAGGTCTCTTAGAGTCTTCCAGAACAGACTATACTTTCCTTCATGTTCTAATCTCATCTTAAAAGGTAGCATTTCTAGCTACAAGCAACTTTTCGCGATACCTCTACTGATCCCTTTTTATTTCAATCTTCTGTTTTAAGTTAGATGCTACATCGAACTTGATTCTCTGAACCACATAACATACTCAGCGTAGTTGGACTCAATTTGATATGACCACTAGGGTCGGAATAACAAACATGTTCTTAGTCATTACCGAAACGATGGTAACGACATACTTGAATAAAATGAAATCGATTACTAGCTCCTTGGTAACCTTGTGACTTTCTCTGATCCAAGTGCGAGTCATGTGCTTCCGGTAGCATAGGCCTCTACTACCATTCACACCTACTCATACTCGTCCCAAGTATTGTCTCGCAGTTCTCAAAGTTATTATCACAAAAACAATTTTAACACACACAAATGTGTCCAAACAATCATATAATTTTCTCTAGACTCTACTAGGAATTCTTCCATGCGTATCTTCGATCATCAATTCTGCTTCAACTCGGTTGGTGATGGAAATGTCAGACGATGGAATAACTTCATGGATTATACCAAAAATCTTTCTTTCTGCAAATCGAAAGTTTACTTCTCCCGTACTAGACATATTATTTATTAGATGCATTCTAAAGGAAAGATATCATTCTTATGATATCTTCCGATAAGTACCATTCAGTATCGTAAGCCTTCTCATTTCCTCCATTTACTCAATTCACTAGGAGTCTTCACCATGATGTTCTACACACCAAAGCAGTCGTTTGGTGTATCGAGACGAGAATATAGATAGAGGAAGGTTTAGACGCGTATTCCTCCTTATTACTTCGAAACATTACATGCCAGTTCTACTATAGTAATTAAAACGTTTAGACATCTGAACACATAAAGTTTCCAGATCCGGTCGGCAACAGACCATAGATCCGATCAAACGATAGCATAATAAAGCATCAGAAATCATTTAGCACATAAAAGCAATTTAGACATCTTCCCTAAATGAGCTAGTGCCCGTGTCTATTCAGGTGTACTTCCTAAAATATATTAGACACACTCCTCACGATCATCGCTTAGCATTCTAAGTTCAAGTCTAGAAATAAATCCTTATTCCTAGTTCGCTTAAACTAATGCTCTGATACCAACTGTGACATCCCCATTTTCACGGCCAGAAAAGACCGATTTTGTTTATGTTTTATAAAAATCAGAGTACTTCTTTTAATAAAAATGTTGCGGAATTAGTTCCCAGTAAAACATGATAAATACATTATCAAAACATTTCCGAAGAAATGTATTTTTATTCATTTTAAAACATTTGGGATGTCATCGTCAATACAGAAACATAAGCATAAACAGAACTTACATTCATTTACACTACTGATCTACATCTCTTTTAAATCTCTCAGTGTAAAGTAGCTTCATATTGACACCTGTGATAAAAATAAGCTTGAGTGGGTCAGGTTGGGAAACCTGGTGAGTACATAGGGTTTTCAACCCACAATAATATAATTATTATGTTTAAACATCAAACAATCAACCCAATTACCCATCCCCATTATCTTCTTTACTCTTAAGGATCTACCCTAAGAATCAACTATTCCTCGTTCATTCATTCCTAAGGATCATCCTAAGGAATCGGCACGAAGTCCATCGTCATCGGGGTTAGGCACTAAGTCTGCATAGTCGCCAGGATTTATACAATAGGCACTAAGTCCGCATAGTCACCAGGGTTTAGGCACTAAGTCTGCATAGTCGCCATGGTTTATACAACAGCCACTAAGTCCGCATAGTCGCCAGGGTTTTGGCACTAAGTCTGCATAGTCGCCAGGGTTTATACAACAGACACTAAGTCCGCATAGTCGCCAAGGTTTTGGCACCAAGTCTGCATGATTGCCAAGGTTTAGGCACCAAGTCTGCATGATCGCTAGGGTTTAGAGTACACCGGGTGAACACATCGTTCACAACACCTACAGGTTGCGAGCCTGCTATTGTTCCACCGGACTGTCTAGAATAGTCTGTGGTTGTCATCCATACTCTGCTAGATGACATGGCTATCATTTGGGAAAGGCTTCTCACATCGTCCACCTCTCACACTCACCTCGTGGTCTATAACACCTCTCAACTCATCATCCAACTCATATCCATCTATTACATCTACCCATGTTTTACCCAACATATTATCGTAGATATCTATATATATATATATATATATATATATATATATATATATATATATATAATATACGTTTTAAATCATTTAAAACATGTATAAAATCGTTTATCCAGCATAGACACAACAAGTACTCAGATAATATGCACACATAGCACGTAGTTTATATAAAATACTTCATATCTATGTGTAAGATGAAAGTAACTATGCACTCACTTGAAAAGGTGGTGATTCCGAACTCAGACAGCGCTTCGCTTCTTAAAAAATAATTTCCTTCGACGAAACCTAGTATTATTACCACTAGAGTTTAGTCTATTATTCGCCGAGACTAATTCATAGTCTAGCTATTATTACTATTATATAAGCGTTAAACAATACTTATATAACCCATAATAATAGCCCAAGTATTTATTATAAGTTCCTAATAACGTTACTATAATTAAATAAAAGCTATATTAAAAATAGCGTAGGCGTAGCTCACTTACAGCGGGTTTTATAGAAAACCGGGTTTGCTTGGAGCAGCGTTCCTGAGCCGAAAAGCTCTTCTTCTCGGAGCCGTCGAGCACTCGGGGCTTCCGCCTTGTGCTAGGGAGGTTCCTAGGCTTTTCGGGGGGTTCGGGGCTAGAGAGAGGTTCTAGAGAGAGAGAGTAGAGAGAAGAGAAAGAAAGAATGGGAAAGGTGTGAAGAAAATGAGGGTGGGAGAGGTGAGGTTCTATTATAGGGTGAAAAAATGGCTGAACTTTGTGCCACATGTCACCATCTAGTGGCAAGACTTGGGGAGAAAGCAATGGCCAAGATTGTGCCACTCATCATTTTCGCACAGCACGCTTCCGACTTCTAAAATCCGTAACATTCACATACGACCTCCTTTTTTGACGTTCTTTATATCCACGTGTAGGTAAAAATAAGATCTACAACTTTCATTTTGACTCTGTCGGCTAATTCTCGACCGATCTTAAATTTAACAGTACGAGGAGATTATACTGTTAAATGTCCGCGTAAAATTCATAACTTGTACATACGGACTCTGTTTTCGTCTGTCTTTTTTATCGTTGAGTTCCTATTAATGAGATCTTCAATTCTCATTTAGGTCGCGTAGGCCAAAAACCGCTCGATCTAAAATTCGAGTTTCGGGCCGTGTACTGCTATGCCAAATCTTAGAAAATTCATAACTTCCTCATACGAAGTCAGATTTGGGCGTTCTTTTTTTGTATGTTCTCAGTTTAACGTATACTACAAAATTTGTTTAGATCACTAAGGCTAAAAAGTCTTTTTCCGTAAATTCACTATTTACGTCTCCCGGTGTCGTGCCGGTTTTGCCGTAAAACTTCAACGGACCATAACTTCTTCGTTATAACTCGGATTTCAACGTTCTTTATATGTACGGAACCCTTGAGACGTATTCTACAACTTGGTTAAGATTATTTATTCTAAATAATCTTTTGTCAAAAAGTCGTTTTCGACCCCTATTATCTCTAAATTGACTAGCCCGGATCTACGGGCGTTACACAAACTCTAGCTGGAAAATCTCCTTTTGAGCTTCTATATTTACAACCGCTGAATTATCATTCATTTTGGACTTTTGGTTGTCGCGTGTTTCCTTATCTTCGTGACTACTCGGAACACAAATTATCACCAAGAAGTTTACCGTGCATCTTTATTGGTTATATCCATAAATATAAAGGGTATCAATGTCTTGACCCAGTAACATCTCGTGTGTATATATCGAGACATGCTCGATTTGACGAGAATACTTTTCCCTTTATGCAATGCTCCAACTCTCAGTCTATCTCTCGCGTTCAAGTTTCCACTTTTATAGACATTTCCCTTATTGCGAAACCTCCAGATTCACCTAAATTCTCACCTCTTGCCTCTTCCCCATGCACATTACCCTCAAATCCTTTACCTACCCCTCCATGTCATCTTTGCATGGATACTTCTCCACCTACAAGCCCTGTTGTCGATAACTCATCGTCACCTACGCCTACCACATCTCCTACCTTTGAACACCCACCTTCACCTACACCTACCCCACTACATATCAAGGATCCTCCTCCTCTCACTCCTTATAGCACTCCCACTCTTGATCCTACGCCTCCTACACCACCGACTATGCCATCTCACCTTATGGTTACTAGAGCTAAAGCGGGTATTTTTAAACTTCGACATATCGCCGATTTGTCTCAAGTGACTCGTTATGCCACCACCGACCCGAATGGGCTCAAGTCTGCCCTCAAAGTCCCCAAATGGGTTGACGCTATGAATCATGAACTTGATGCTCTACATAAAAACAACACTTGGTCCCTCGTCCCCCCTCCTATGAATCATCCTGTTGTTGGTTCCAAATGGATTTATCGTACCAAGTTTCACTCTGATGGGACTATTGAATGCCACAAGGCTCGACTTGTAGCTCAAGGTTTTAGTCAACCACCAGGTCATGATTACACTCATACCTTTAGCCCGGTTGTTAAAGCCTCCACGGTTCGTATTATACTTTCTTTGGCGGTTCTTAATAACTGGAGGTTACATCAACTTGTTATTAACAATGCCTTCCTTCATGGACATATTACTATTAAATGCATATATATGGAGCAACCCCCGGGCTTTCTTAGCCCTCAGTTTCCAAGTCATGTTTGCAAACTAAACAAAGCCATATATAGGCTTAAACAAGCCCCACGGACATGGTTTCATCGATTAAAGACCTTTCTCTTGGATAATGGATTTACAAGTAGTCGGACTGACACCTCTTTGTTTATCTTTAAACTCGACTCTTGTGTTATGTACTTATTAGTCTATGTTGACGACCTGATTCTTACCGGTAACCAAGATCACGTTCTTACAACATTTATTGCTCGTCTGAACAAAGAATTTGTTATCAAGGATTTAGGGGAGCTCAACTACTTTCTTGGGATTGAAGTTATGTATGCTTCCGATGGGCTCTTTTTGAATCAATCCAAGTATACTCGTGAGATTCTCGAACGTGCCAAGATGTTCGATGCTCAACCTGCCCCCACTCCTCTTGCTACTAATGTCTCATTTATCGTTTCTGGTACTCTATATTTAGACCCTACTCACTATCCATCTATTGTTGGTGCTCTTCAGTATTTAACCATCAGTAGACCTGACATCTCATATGCCGTGAATCAAGTCAGTCAATTCCTTCATGCTCCTACAGACGATCACTATCAATCGGTCAAGAGTATTCTCCGATACCTTAAAGGCACTTTAGCTTTTGGCCTCCACTTTTCACGCCCTCAAAAGTCCTCACTCCTTGGCTTTTCCGATCAACTTATGGTTATGCGATCTTTTTAGGAGCTAACCTTGTCTCATGGAGTGCTAAGAAGCAACCTACAGTCTCATGCTCCAGTTGTGAGTCTGAATATCGGGATATGGCCAACACTGCAACTGAAATCATTTGGATAACCCACCTTCTACGGGAATTGCATGTTTTACCTTCTGATCGACCAACCATTCTATGTGACAATCGTAATGCTCTATTTCTCACTCAAAATACGATCTCTCATAAACGAGTCGAGCACATCGAGTTGGATTATCATTTTATACTTGAGCTTGTTTGTACCGAGAAGCTCCATACTCGCTTCATACCTACCAAGATTCAAATGGCGGACATCTTTACAAAGAGCCTTCCGAAACCTCAGTTCGAGTTCTTCCGGCGTATGTTTCGCCTAGGGCCGTCACCGTCTCGCTTGCGGGGGGATATTAAATTACCTCCTTTATAGTTCTTTATTATACGTCTTTTCCTTTTCCCCTGTTGTGCCTATATATTTGTTTGTAATGTTTGTATACGAATCACTCAGAATTCAATATTACACACCCAAAAGAACTTGTATAGTTCAATTTTAAATAAAGCAAGAACAAATTCATTTTTATGACAATTTTGATGAATATCAACAAAATCATTGTAAAAGTACACCATCGAGATGTTTTTTCGGGATTTTTTTTTGTGAATCATCATATTTTTATTCATCTACTGATTCATTTGTTTTGTTTGCCAAAAAATATGTAGAAAAAAAAATTCTTACCTTCCTACCAATTTTTTTTACCGGATCCGGATATATATATATATATATATATATATATATATATATATATATATATATATATATATATATATATATATATATATCTAATATATATATATATATATCAGTGTTATAAAAATCAGTCTAGGCGGCCGATTAATCGGGGATTAATCGCTAGACGGTCTTCAACCGAATAGGATTAAGGCTAATCGGTCGGCTTAATCGGTTTTGGTCAAAGTGGGTCAAAGTCGGAGCTAGACGGTTCTAATCGGTTCTAGGCGGCCTAATCGGCCAAACTTTCAAATTTTTAAATATTAAACCAAAATTTTCAAAATTTCAAAAGTTCATAGTATTTCAATGTTTAACTAATATATAAAAAAAATTTAAAAATTAAAATTTGAAGTTTATCTCCAAAATTATCAAAATTTCTATGTTTTCAAATATACAAATACCCAAATTTACTTTTTTTCTTAGATCTATTAAAATTTGAATAACTTTTCTTATTAATTGGATTAAAATTTGAATAACTTTTCTTATTAATTGGATGATAAATTGTTGTGTTTGTTAAACTTTATTATTAAACTTTTGTTGTGTTTGTTAAACTTTATTATTAAACTTTTATGCTTTTATATATATATATATATATATATATATATATATATATATATATATATATATATATTAACAAACCAATTTTTTCTCACTGAAATAATACATATGATTTAAAATCATAAAAAAAGAAAGAAAGATAATCATAATAATCCTTAGAATAATAACTTTTTTCTTAACCACTACTATACAGAAAACAATACATGCATAATTGGCATTTTGTTCTTCGTCATTGTCGGTGTTTCAGTTCATTTGGTATCTAAGCCGAGTCTTTAGATTTATTGGTTTGAAATGATATAAAAAGATTGTAGGGCAATATCGGCCATCGGGTGTATGTTTGACCAAGACTTTTATAGATGTAAATCGTAATCCACTTTGTCTTCTTTATTTATAACAATACCAGGCCATGAGCCATCATTAATCTCCGAGCCTTTTGGGTCCCAAGTCTAACATGGCATGCTAGACAACCTTTTCTTGATTGACTTGATATTTACATTTTTCATTCTTAATATTTATCAATGGAATAAAATAGAGAAAATCATAAAATAAAAAAAATAAAAAAAGGTCCTAATTAACAACGAGCCTGGCTTATCGATTTTCTTTGATTCAACGACGGTTCTACGAGAAATACTACCGTCATTGATTGGTCGATGGTTTTTTTAATTTTAGTGACGGTATTCCTATAAATTAGCGAACTGTACCAAAGTAGCCTTTTATTATATATCTTACTTGATCTTCAAGAAGGTTGCACATGCTCAAGGTTGTTGATATCATACTTGTTTTTGTTTCCCCAAGCTAGTTTGGCCATTTTGCCCTCGGGTTGACGTAATTCTTTTTGGTTGCTTCTGCCCTTGTTGTTGTGGTATTGTTAAGCTCGTGTTAGGTGGATATGAAAGGTTTGACTACTGGTACTTGTTTCTAGGTTTCCCAAGTTAGATTGACTATTTTGCCTTTATGTTTTACGTTTTACTGCTTGATTGTCTCTACCCCTGTTGTTGTTGTATTTTTATGGTATTTTTATGTAATCACATGTTGAAATTGTGTTTTTGTAAGCATGTATTTCTAATGTGAACACCATTCAAGAAAATGTAATTTGTGCATCATATATATTCGTAAGTACCAATGTACTATAACCAATACCATAGAAAGTCCTTTTTTTTGCGCCAATGGTGCTAATTAAGTCTATATGATTTTGGGGTTGGCTATCTTAACATCCCCTTCCATTAAAATCAGGTTTGATAAATTTCATTCTTGAAAAAGTTCAACCGAGTTCGATTTTGGGTGAATTTTGCACGATTTCTTATGTTTCTGTAGCCTTGTTGATCTGATTTCTAGGGTATCCAGTCTAATTTATAGTGGTAATCCCTTACATGTGTTCATAGCAAGACCGTGAAGAAATCCTCTAGTGTGAAGATTGAGATATTTTACGGAAAGGTCTAATTGCAAGTCTCACATTTATTAAAAATAGATTTTTATTTTGCTTATTAAAACATTACACTTTGATGGTAGATATTATATGATATCAAATATTCATAAAAATACATACAGAATGAAAAAAATAAACAACTTAGCTAGGTACCATTTCACTTCACAAAGGTCGTTATTAAAGTGTAACGAAAGATCTTCGTTTTCAAAAACATAATTACAAAACCCAAGATTACTAGCTAATTTGTTATAAGGCTGGTGGGTATGGAGCGTTAAAGGAGTGATGGAAAGGTTCTCGTACCTCGAAACACCATACCGGGGTTGCGGGAAAAGAGTGAGGGAGTCTATCTCTCACTCTCTTGTATCGTGTGATTGGTCGGTCTTTTTTTTAAATTTTTTTTTAATATTTATTAAATTATATACCTACTAAGAAATTATAAAAAATGTATCAAAATTCATGGTTTTAATTCTCTACAAAATGAATATAATATTTATATAAAATATTTCTTTTAAAAAAAATAAAAAGATAGTGAAAGGTGACCATTTCATATATTTTGATAAGGAAAATGAGAATAAAAAAAAACTAAGATAACATTAAAAAAGTAAAAGATTTTTCTCATATATACTATGTGGTCTCATATGTGGTAATCGAAGATTTACACTTATAAGAGGGGGAAGTAAAAGGGAAAATACTGCCAATAGACAAAAAATGAGGGTGAATTTCAAAATATAGTCATAAAAAATGACTTTTTCGGCATTAGACATGCATTCCGCGGAGGGTCCTCCGCGGATCGAAGATTCCTCTGCGGACAGGGCTATTTTTGTCATTTCACCCCTCTTCTCTTTCACAAAATCGAACATTCCTCTTTGGTCCCCCCACTGGTCCCCCGGAATCTTCTTTGACAAACACATTCCTCCGCATCGACGATTCCGGCGACACCAACATCAAATCCAGCGACAACGACGTCAAACGACGTCATTTTCCGGCGACATACGATTTCAATTTCGACTTACAACTTCAATTCCGGCGACATACGACTTCAATTCCGGCAGTTATGGAGGGCAATTTCCCCGATATTTTGGCCGACGGATTTGGCTCCCGGGTATTTCTCACCATCCTTTCTTTGGATTAATGTAGTTTATGTATGATATTTGTCGAAAACGATTTGATTAAATGGAAAATATAGGTAAAATAGAAGGATTTAGATGAAATCGTCGTTGACAGGTTTTCTGCGGAATGACCTGTAGTCTCCGCGGAATGACCTGCAACTGATTTTTTCTATTTTTTTTTGTTGCTGTTTTTTCTGACTTTTTATATGAAATTAAATGTTATGTTTTGCAGCACAAAGATCTCAATCAAAAAGCGGATTTAACTTTAAAAGGTGTGGTGGGTACTATCATTAAAGACTATTTTCCGCGCCTAACTCAATCACAACGACAATTATTCGAAGCTTCGCCGTTCGGAGTATTCCTAGGAATGCATATCCCACATGGTGATCCGCTACTTGTGATTTGATGATGTTGCACGAAGTAAGGTGTTAATAAGTATTTGAAATGGGGAGTTTTCTTTTTGATATACAAGGGAGGCATTTGGATTTTGGTGAAACTGAATATATTCTCATTTGTGGTTTAAAAGTTGGTCCTTATGTGGATTTACTCCACGACGAAAAAGGCCGGTCATATTCAAATCTTCGTGCTCGGTTGTTCCCAGACATTTCTGATGCACGTTTGCGGTTGAAAGATTTGGAAGACTTCATTATGTCTCCGAATTATTTGGCAGTTCAAGATGAAGATGCTGTGATGCTTATCCAGCTTGTTTTTATGTTGAAGGGACTCCACGGACGGGACGTTACAACGTGCATTCCCGCTGTAGTATACAAACTTGCTGATAATAGAGATTATTGGAACAGGTATTACATTTACATATTGTGTATAAATACAATACAATAATAATAAATTGAAAATTTCAGGTTTGCATGGGGTACGTATTTTTGGACCTATACTTCGCGGATGATGCGTGGAATGTTTAAGAAAATAGAAGAATTTAGACTATTGAAGCAGACCAATCCCGAAGCCAAGAAAGTACACAAGTATACCGTTCCCGGTTTTATGCTTTCTTTTAAGGTTAGTTTCTAATACATTTAAATAGTTATCATAGTTTTGTTTTGATACGATAAAAACATTGAACTTCGGTTTGTAGTATAAAATACCGTTCTATTATGATTTTTATACTATAATATCATGATACTTACATTTTTTTCTATAGATATGGATTTTGGAGACGTTCCCCGAGGCAACCAATTCTTATATACGCACGCCGACAGAATTGCCGCGGATGAGGTCGTGGAGAAGTAAAACACCATTATCTTGGGATAACTGTCGTCGAATAATCAACATGTCTGTGGTATGCTTTTATACTAAGGATTATTTATACTTACAAATTCCAATGTATTTTCATTATAAACTAACAATTTGATTTTAATTTTTGCAGCCTAACAACGAACCTATTCGAGTCATGGCAGACGCGACGGAGCTGATGTTGCCGTTTTATGTTCGCTACGTCAATTGGACTCTTAACCATGAAGAGTCTCCCCCACGACAACATAGTCCGGTCCGAAATAGTCCACCTGTTGTTGCCTCGCCTCCCCCACGACAAGATAGTCCGGTCCGAAATAGTCCACCTGTTGTTGCTTCGCCTCCTCGAAGAAAGATGTACAAGTCGGAAACATATTTGACTGAATCTGCCACATATGCTTCTTCCTCGCAACATCCTGAAATAGAAAGAACTTATACGTCATGCGACACATCAACGAAGGTGGTAAAGAAGAAGAAAACTAGCACAAAGGCATTAGTGAAACGTCTACTAGGCGTTGTGGCTGACTTATCTTCTAAAGTAGATCGTGTATTACAGAAAAAAGATGAGCCAAACACACGTTTTGTAGAGGAGGAGGAGGAGGAGGAGATGATAAATGAAGATGAGGAAGAAGCATATTACCATGGTACACAGTTCGAATATGGTGGTCTTGAGGGGGAAGTTGGGCGTACACCTACGCATGGTGAGCCGTCATCGGACGTGGGGGAACATCACTCAAAAACAGTGACTCCTATTGGTTGGCCGCAACGAAAGAGGGCTGTTGCATGGTATCAGCGGACTCCGTTCACAGTGGTACAAAACTCATATTTTAAATTTGGTATATTTATAAAATATTACATTATTGAAAATGATTTAACATGTTAATTTTTTAGATGCAATCGACACCAAAAGTGAAAACAATCAGCAAAACAAGGAAAAAAAATAGTGGAGAGTCCTGGAAAAGCAAATGAGGACATTGTCAATGCAGAGACTAATGATGTTTCAAACCATCTCTTGTTGGACAATATTTATGCTGCTAGCACGATGAGTTTTTGGAAAGAATGGAGTATGATCTCTTCCAAACTCATCACTAAACATAGGCTGCATATGCTCCCACTGGATATAGATTTTTGGTCGAGGTTACTTGCTGTTACTCACCAAGGGTGGTTAATTTCTTCGGTAACATTCCTTTAATTAAAATTTTAACTAATTTTTTAGACGAGAATTTATATAAATAATTCTTAAATTTTTAATTTTAAATGTACAGCATATTGCGATATGGAGTTCCTTGCTGATGGAAAGGCGGCCGGCGAACGCAAGGTGGACGATATTTCCTCAAGAAATCAATTTGGAACCCGAAAAATCATTTTTATTTAGGAATATAGCAAATAGGCTTGGAGGTCGTCCTAAATGGAAGGATGTGGATATGGTTAGTTAAGTTTAATAATTATTAATTTATATATATAATATTACTGAAATTACTACTATTTAATTTAACTTTTTTTGCAGATTTTATTTGTAATAAATGTTGTTGGTGCCCATTGGTTTATGGCGGTGCTACATTTAGATACCTGGAAAGTAGATATTTATGATTCAACACGACCTATGGATTACTTCTCAAAGTACTTAACTGGTGGAGAATTCAAAAGTTTTGGAGATAGTATTATCTCAGAGTTAGATGCCATTGAGTACTGGAACGATTTCCCCGTTGGACACAAAGACAAAGCAAAGGTGGAGTTTATTGATGTTGTAGACGCGCCACAACAAGAATATAGTCTTGATAGAGGGGATTGTGGAGTATCTGTATGCATGTTTATGGAAATGATTGTTTCGGGGGTACCAGTGAAGATTTCTACGGCATCTAGAGATGCGAGATTTCTCTACAAACATAAGATGACAAATATTATTTAGGATACTATATAGGCCATACTATATAAGTTGATATTAGGAACTTTGTATATATATTAATATTACGTATTTGGGATACTATATAGGCCCTACTATATAAGTTGTTTTGTTTAATATAAATATGTGTTTTATCCTATATTTTTTGAAACATAATTCATCAACATATATTATGATACATTTAAACAAAATAAACATTAGAAATAACATAATAACATTACACTTAACATTACAAATAAAAGATGAACAACTAACAAACATTACGAATAAAAGAGTCGTCTACATGAAAAAGAGTTTATTTTTAACCAGATTCCAAACGTCTGTATACTCGAAATCAGTTTCATCAAACTGGCACAGGTAATATCCGTTCACGTATTCAAGAAGTTCATCATCGTCAGCATCAGAGCATCGTATTTTCTCATAATTTTAGCATCGATTAAACCATGTGACTTTTGTCTTTAAATCCATCCATTTACTAACAATTTTGGGTTTTAGTCGTTCTTGTCCTTGTCCCACCTCATAGTTGAACAAAGCTACTAAGCGGGACCATTCATCAACAAGAAGACAATTAAGGGGAGCCATTACCTGTAGACCCTCGTAAATGATAATCCAACATCGTGTTAGGACCAACACCTCTGTTGTCGTCCATGGAGATGTACCATTTGTTGGAGCAGCCGCATTAGACGGATTAGCTGCATTTGAAGAAGTTGGTACATTGGATGCCATTTTGTGAAATGACCCCTTACCTCTAATTCGGACGTATAGACACATGCTTTACTATATATAAAAAGATAGGTAACGCGCCATGACAAACAACTATGCGGACTGACAAGTCAGTAACGCGGACTGACAAACAACTATGCGGACTGACAAGTCAGTAACGCGGACTGACGAATAGCTATGCGGACTGACAAGTCAGCAACGCGGTCTGACAAGCCAGTAACGCGGACTGACGAATAGCTATGCGGACTGACAAGTCAGTAACGCGGACTGACGAATAGTTATGCGGACTAACAAGTCAGTAACGCGGACTGACGAACAACTCTCTACGGAGTTGAAGGGTCTATATATTGTCATAGATGATCGTTGGATATTTGCGGACTGTCATGTCTATATAAAACGACAAAAAATTATGTATCACTTCATCTAATCTATTTTAGTTCATGTACTTTGTATGTTTTACAATGGATTCAAAATCATGGACCGCTAACGAGTATTTGCTTCTAATTCGTGCATATATTAATGTCTACGAGAACACCAGTTTGGAGGATAGAATGTTTTGAGTCCTATTAACCAATACCTTCAACACTGACGTTGAAATCACCATAGAAAACCATCGCATCACGCTTGATATAGCTGCAAAATGGTATGAATTGAAAACAGAAGTTGTGTTATTCAACGATCTTTATAATAAGATTGAAGACGATCGTGTGAATGATACTGAGGAAGACATCTTGGAGGCGGCTAAAGAAGAATACAAATCCATTAGCAACAGAGAGAGTTTCGAGTATGAAGCCCCTTGGAATCTTTTTAAAAATGTCCCGTTTTTTTAACTAGTACCGCGTTTTGTATTGTTCTTGTATTGCTTTATTTATATGTAATATGGTATTTATCCTTTATTTTTTGAAACATAATTCACCAACAAATGTTACGAAACCATACATTCAAATAACATAAAAACATTTATGTGGAGTGACTAACAGTTCTGCGGACTGACAAACAGCTCTGCGTCCCACTCGTCCAGCGCGTCTCTTGTGTCTCGTGCGTTTGTAGTGCCGAACAGCTCTGACAAACAGGTTACGCGGACTGACAAATAAGTTACGCGTACTAACAAGTCATTTACGCGGACTGACAAGTAAGTTCTGCGGAATAATGTATACTAATTCCTTTTAAATTGGACAAGCATTTTCATTTCTACAAGGTGTCGAAAGTTGTGAAAATGAGTTCAGTCAATCAGGTATTAAGAAAAAGTTTCTCCAACCTACCGACTTTTTTCCATAATCCGCAAAGAACCAATCCTAACACCTTCACATACATTACGGAAGATCAGTACAATCGTTTCCAAATTTGTTTTGTGGCATTGGGATGCGTGATATGTTATCCCTTATAGTAAATAAATATTTAGTTATTTCAAGTTGTTATATGGCTAATATTCTTATCTTGACTTACAGATTCGTACGTTTCTCACGTCTATGATACCAATCATATTCGTTGGTCAAGTACCTCTAATTGGGGCGTATGTAAGATCCATGTACATTGCGGTTGCTTTAGATGGAAATCATGAACCCTTTCTCATAGCGTTTTCTTTGGGAACCATAAACTGTGACAATTCATGGTTATGGTTCATGAGGAGGCTTAAAGAATGTTTAAGTGACAATACAGAAGTTGGTTTCATAAGCCATATGTCTGATTCCATAGACTTTGCAGTTCAAAGAGTCTACCCTGATTCATATCATGGCTATTGTTGTAAAAATATAGCCGAGAAAATACGCGCTTCCACCGGAAGCAATACAGTCGTAGAGTAGTTGTTATGGAAGACTTGTAAAGCGTATAATTTGTCTCATTTTTATGCATGTTTGAACAACTTAAAAAATGAGGTTAATGGGAATGATCTTCATTGGCTTGACAATATTCCCATTGCAAAATGGGTATGGGCTTGTTTTCCAAGAGTACATTTCAATGTTAAATTCATTGACATTCCCGTTGTTGTCAATTGGTTAAGAACAAACATGCATGAGTTTCCAATAACAACAATCATTGAAATGGTCCATTACTCGATGCAAAATAGTGTATCTTCAACGTGCTGCGTTTGGAGGTAATTATAAGTTATGACATCACTCAAATGGTCAATTGATATGTTATTATACGTTATGACATCATAATTTTTTTTTGATTCAGTTCATTTCACATGGGACTTTCATGGTCTTCTAACCCCTTATGCACTTAAGGTGATTCATAAAAGATTTATCCACTCGGATGGTTGTAGGATTACGCATATTGTTGGCGACAGATATGAAGTGAGTAAGTATGCAACAACCGAATCTGTCCAATTAGACCGTGGTATTTGTAGTTGCGGTAAATGGCAAAAATGTGGTATACCTTGTGAGCATGCTATAGCTTCACTACAAAGGCTTAAAATTGCAGAAATCCAGCAAATGGTAAATTTAAAGTTAAGTACCGCGGTGTATCGAAATACTTATCAAACTGAGACGGTCAATCCTATTCCAACCCTTAGGCATTGGGAAATACCAGTTGAAAGTGTTGTGGTCTTACCTCCACGACAATTCAATTGAACTGTATTGTATGGATCACAACGAATATTAGTTTGTATTCAGTTCTATGTTAACCGTAGTTGTAATGGTCTGTTGGCGTTGTTTAGTTTTTAATAAAAAATGTTTACCTTTAAATAAATAATTGTATTCCCATAATGGTAATGTATGGATGACAACGACTAGACAAACAACTCTGCGGAATGACTACGAGTTCTGCGGACTGACAAACATTATTGCGGACTGACAAAAAGCTCTGCGGACTGACAACAGCTCTCTGCGGAGTGGAAGGGACTATATATAGTCATGGATGGTCGTTGGATTTTTGGTATAGAGTTATAATTTTTTTTTAAATTTAAAATGAGTTCATCTTCAACTTTGTATATTTGCTCATGCAACGAAGTTGATTGTTTCTATTGTGATCCGATCGACCCTTTTCTTGCCCCATCACCAAATTTAAGAGAGTCGTATATGTCTGAGGATACTTTGCAACAACTACAATGGGCTGAAGAACAAAAAAAAAAAAGATAAAGACTCATCTCGAGCTCTCACTGAATGTCGTGACCTCATTGCGGCGGAGTGCAAAGAGGTTGAGTAAAGGATGACGATTACTAAAAAAAAAAATCAAAGATCACGAGGAATGGATAAAAAAAACTAAGAAGAATATCAAACTGTCTGAAAAATGGCTTGCTGACAAGGATGCAGAAATGATAGAACTTGGGAGGCAAAAGGACCGTATGGAAGATAAAATAAGAATTAGGGACGACTACATAACAATGGAGAAAGAAAAGTATCCTTTGCAATTCCCTTAAGTTAATTACTGTTGTTGTACGTTTACTATATGTTTCTGGTTTGTTGAATGTATTATCTTCGAGTTTTAGTTATTATTCTACTAGTAATGATGCACTAATATAATCATAATATTACACATCATCTTTAAAATAAACACACGATTTCAAAGTACACAAATTAATGTCCTCTAAAACAAAACATAATTAATTATAAATACAACATCAATCATTCAAATCAAACGTTGAACAATAGTCTTCTCTCTGCGTCCCACTCGTCCAACGCGTCTCTTGTGTCCCGTGCGTCTCTAGCGTCTCCTGAGTCCCTTCTGTCCCTTTCCCTTTTGTGTTACTACCTGATGCCGCATTATTTTTTCTAGCCTTTTTTTGATTCATTGGGACCAATGCCGGACAAGTCGCTGCATTATGTGTTGTACTATCACATCTACTACACCTTCTTACTATAGGTTCCTCACCTTGTGACGAGATACGATTTCTGTTTCTCGGTCTACCAGCTTGACGTGTATCCATTATCGGGGGTTTAACAACCATCATCTCAGCAGGAATCTCCCAATCACACGGTTCTGGAAGTGGGTAAACAGGCTCCTCATACGTACTTCGGTAAGTTTCCATTTTGTAAGCATCTATAGCCAGATGTCCGAAGTTAGTTTTTTTCAAGTGCTTTAAGACCATTATGACATGACCACAAGGCAACCCAGTTCCTTCCCAATATTTTCATGTACAAGTCTCTTGCCTCAGATCAACTATGCCACCATGTTTGAAATCATGCACTTCATAGATTGCATCTGAAACACCAGAAACGGACCATCCTGTCGTACGCTCTTCATTTTTACTAACTACTTTTTCAGCCCACTCGGTTAGCACTGTTGAACGTTTCCCTGTAAAGAATATATATAATTAACTTATTATTCGAGATAATTAAAGTCCA